TGACACCTAAGCTAACTAGGTGGGCCACTGAGATAGACCAGTACGACTTTGAGCTCAAGCCAGTGAAGGGCAAGTACAACGTAGTTGCAGATGCTCTGAGTAGGAGATCAGACTACTTTGGAGCCATAGTACACTATCTGGATATAGGGAGAGACCTGCAGGAGAAAGTGAGGCAAGCGTCTGCGCAGGACCCTATCTATAGTGACCTCCTCAAGAGAGTTAAGGAGGCCCCAGAGACCGAACCACACTATCGCACTACAGAAGGATTGCTGTTTGAGAAGACGGATGTATTCGACCGCCTATGCGTTCCCAACAGTGAGGAAATCCGCAGTCTAATCCTAGGGGAATGCCATGACACCGACGGACACTTTGGTTGGCAAAAGACGTTAGCCAATCTGATGTGTGCGTACACCTGGCCAGGGATGAAGAATGACTGCATAGAGTATGTTCGCAGTTGCAAAGTTTTCCAGAGGAACAAGACCACCACGCGTGCCCCTCTAGGTCTTCTCAGACCCTTGCCTATTCCTGATCACCCGGGAGACTCAGTATCCATAGACTTCATGGATACCCAAGTCAAGAGGAGACATGGTAAGAGCCAAGTCATGGTCATAGTTAACCGTTTAAGCAAGTATGCCGTTTTTGTTCCTTTACCAGAGGCACGCACAAAATTAGTTATTCAGAAGTTTTTTTATCATTGGGTTAGTGAGAACGGAGTCCCATTATCCATAGTTAGCGATAGAGATAGTCGTTTCACCAGCCAGAACTGGCAAGAACTCATGAGAGTTTACGGGTCAAAGTTATTAATGTCATCTGGTCGTCATCCAGAGACCAACAGTCAGACAGAACAGATGAACAAGATCCTACAGCAAGTTCTGCGCATGTACATTAGACCGGACCAGATCAACTGGGATGAGATGTTGCCTAAGGTAGCTAGTGCATACAATAACAGCGTGCATCTATCCACCTGCCGCACTCCCAATGAGYTGCACAAGTCCTTTAGACCACGCAGACCATTCGAAGGATTGAACCGGGATCAGATTTACAGGCTACCGCCCGGAACCAGGGAGTTTGCAGTACAGCACGAGAAAGAGCTAGCAACTGTTGTTGAAAACCTCAGGAAGGGCCAGCATAGAATGATAGAACATGCCAATAAGCACCGTCGCCCATCGCAGTTTCAGGTAGGCGACTTAGTCTGGGTCAAGTCTAAAGGGTTTGCACCTGAGGAGCACATCTCACAGAAGTTGCTGCCTGCATATAGAGGACCGTGGCCGGTTTTAGAAGTCAAGGGCGGAGAGGATGGACCGTCCTACACTATAGAGATCCCAGCACACCTCCACACATACCCTGTGTTCCATGCTTCAAAGCTGTTGCCGTGTGTCACAAGTGAACAGTTCCCTTCAAGAAGATCCATGATCCCCCCGGATATGGATGGAAGTTATGACATTGACGGCATTGTAGATGAGGATGTGTTCAGAACAGGAGGTAGAGGTCATCCCCAGAAACAGTATAAGGTCTGGTTTGCTTATCAGGAACCGGAAGACGACTGCTGGTTTACAAGGACAGAACTGCTAGAAACAGCTTCCGACATAGTCAGAGCCTATGAGCGTGATAAGAAGTGTAAAGGTCCTGCCTCGGACTGAAATATTCTTGGAGGACCTTGAATTTAGGACGGCGGGAGTGAAACAGTTTTCACCTCTCTGCAGTAGCAGACGCAGATCCCAGGGTTCGATCCCTAGACCTTGCCCTACCTGTGTACAGTATCTGTGTAGAACCCGAGAGTTGAACCTGTGACCTGTGTGTTCGTAAACAGTTGGTAGGCTGTCATAGGTCCGTAGGTAGCAGAGGGGTGCGATCTATAGATCTGTAGGATAGAAGTCTTAGCGAGTTCCATAAGTCTTAGCTGTAGTCCTTCTGCAGAGAGTCCGGAGCTGAAGTGGGCGAGAGAGAAGGAGCGTAGCATAGCGATAGGGTAGAGGCAGCCATAGCTGCCATAGCTATAGTTTAGTGTGAAGTGTGTGTGTGTATGTGCGAGTGTTCAGAGTGACACGTGTGGGATATCCAGGGTGATCCGGTGTATGTGAACAGTGAGTTGTTTGGGCGCTGAGTTGCCATAGCCAAGTGAAAGTGAACTTGTCTCTGGATGCCATATCTCTGAGTTTTGAGTGGGCGCATGTCGCCAGTTTGCTGCGCTACTGTTTACATGCATGAAAAGTGTGAATGAGAACGAGTCTGATTGCACTTCTAATGGTACTCGAGTTGCTTACTCTTCTGAAATTTCCGTGAAGGTCGAGAAATCCCAAAGGCACCATGCGGAGACAAAGCGGAGATCATGATTGCGTTCATACAGTGTTGTTCTCATTCAATCTGACACCAAGGATTGCAATGACCATTTTTTTTTTCCTTTTTTGTGCACGCAAGTGCCATTCAGGAGGTTATGGGTTCGAGCCCCATGACCCCCTGCAGCGCACTGTCTCGACTCCCGGATTTGCAGGTGGTTGAGACGCAGGCTCCATTGACCTTCTTTTATTTTTTCCCCCTTCACTTTTCTTCTACATTCGTGGCTTTTGTACGAAAACGGATTTTCACGTTTCTAACAGTACTCTAACAAAGTTTCGGTGAAGGTGTACAAATCCCGAATTGTCTGGTGACCTGTCTCGACTCCTGGATTTGCAGGCGGTTGAGACGCATGCACCATTTACCTTCTTTTTTTTTTTCCCTTCGTTTTTCGTTTACATTTGTGGCTTTTCTACGGAAATGGATTTCCTTCAATTATCGTGAGACAACCGCAATCACGCTCCAAAGATTCCGTGCAGGTGGAGATCATGATTGCATTCAACCGCAAATCACGGTCCAAAGATTCCGTGCAGTTGGAGATCATGATTGCATTCATACAGTGTTGTTCTCGGAACCCCCAAAAAAATCCTTTCTTTTGCGCCTAAGTGCCATTCAGAAGGTGGTGGGTTTGAGCCCTGTCACTGACTGCGGTGCACTGTGCCACGCCCCCCTACCTTTTTTTTCCCATCTCTTTTCTTTTACTTTCGCAGCCTTTGTACGAAAGCGAATTTCGCAGCTTCTGTCCGCCTGGATTTGAGCCCCCGTCCGTCATTGAAAAAAAAAAAAAAACGAAAGAAACCAAAGACGAAACAGTAGAAAACAGAAACGAAAGAACGTTTGTAACAGTTCCTTACTCTTCCCAAATTTCCGTGCCGGTGGGCTTAATGATTGCGTTCGTACAGTTTCTTTTGCACTTGACCACGCTTCTTTTCTTTCACTACTTTCGCAGCTTCCGTTTACCTGTTTTCGCCGTATGACCGCCTGGATTCGAACCCTCGTCCTTCAAAAAAAATAAAAAAATAAAAAAAATCAGAAGAAAACAGAAACGAAAAGAAAAGAAGGAAAGAAGAAGACAAAACGGGCAAGCACATCGCATGGACAACCGCAAATCACGGCGCAAATCTTTACATCGAACGTTCCACAATGAAAAGCCACATCGCACGCCTACCAAACCACATTCACATCGCACGCCCAACCGAGAACTTGCTAACGTGGCAGACTCTCAGCCCACGAGAACAACGACGCGGCCCAATGCTGGCCTTGCGATGTAAATAGAGTTTTACATCGCACGGCCAAAGATGCCAGTTGATCTAAACGAAAGAGCCCGCGGCTGGTAAACCTTAGAACATTGTAGGATTTGGGGTCTTCGTCATGGAATGCCTTTCAAGTTTCAACAGACTGTATATGTGGCTGGTACTGCTGTTGCAGAAGGAGTTCATAAGTCATACATCCTATCCAAATGTCAACGTACTATGTAGGCATTTTTTTGAGAAGGAAGTGATGCAGTGCACATAGGGGGGATAAAAATAGAACCGCACTCGTGTGCCCATCTGATGAATGCAGACGTTGAGTCTATGTGTGTCAGCTAACTCTGCCCTTGTAGGGGTAGATATAGAAATGAATGTACTTACAGGGACAACGGAAATTTGACCACAGCAGGAAATTCCAGGGAGGTCAGAGACGGAAGTAGAATTTGATAGGAACCCAGTAGGGATTTCCAGAAAGTCCGCTAGGTTCTAAGTCCTGGCGGCTAGGTAGTAGGTGTCATGATGGGACAGGCCTGAGTGTAAGCTGATTAAGGCCTTGTATAAGTCTAAAAGGGAAGATTACAGTCTGCAATGATGTTGTCGCCGAAACAATGTCATTCGGGTCAGGACGCAAAGGAAGCTACAGTCTGCAAGGGGAACCAGTGGGCCTAGAGGCACTGGTAGCACCCGGGTCAGGACGCACGAGGCCGAGAGGCAAAGAGTACATATCATTCGGTGCAATGAGTGGTCTGGACATTCACCTGGCCATCATGTTCCTGCTCCACCCAGAAGGGGGGGGGTGGCGTAACGAGGAAGGAGGAGGTAATCAATGAGAAGACTTACTTTGGCTGTGGACCTTCATTTTCACTGCCCTGGTTGGCATTGTATCAAGGAGGGCCCTGTTCGGGTACTGGTTGGATATGCACTTCATCTGTGAGTGAGGCATGGCCATGGAGGAAGGGCGAGGCCTGTCCCCTGCTCAATCTATGTTGACAAGGATGATCCACCATAGCGACTAGTGCTACCAGGAGGAGGAGGGTAGTGAGGAGAGTGAAAGGAGAGTTCTTTCTGCACTGGCAGGGAAGGGGATCCATCAGATATTGATTCTTCATTCATTCATTCTTTTTTGTGAAGGATAGTGATGGTCAAGAAATGAGGGAGATGACATTGGTTGAATCTTGTGTTCTTCTTCGTTCTTCTTCTTCGTTCTTCGTTCTTTCGTAACGTTTGCCTCATTCCACTGCTTCTTGAGCTGCAATGGATGCGATATTCTCAAGGTTAAGTTTCTCATTACGAATTAAACAGGTATATAAGTCAAATCCCAGATGATAAAGAAATACAGCCTGACACTTCACGGACAGAAGTAATCTAGAGTCTTCCGAGAACAAACACATGATGAGTCCATAGACCAGTTGTTACCTCCATGAACCGAGCCCAACTCGTGCAATCACTGAGATCCACCTGAGTCATCTCCTTTGTGCACCTGTGGGAAGAAACCACAAAAAGACAAGAAATCACAGTCTCAACAGTGAACTCGTCCGCCACAAGAGGTCCACAGCCTATTTGCTTTTCCACTTTCACACAGGAAATGTCCGGATTGCAAATGTGTGCGTGTTATGTCCCACATCAGGCGACTGCACATGCAGGAAGAGAAGCCACATTGCATGCCAGGAGTCCACAACAGTCCCAAAACACGCCAACAGGAGCCCTAGCAACTCACCGCACCTGATTGCAGTTCTGATGAGCACGTTATCATCGACCGCAGGATCCCCACCATCTAGCTCCTTGTCCCATGTGCCACCGACACTCATGATTGCACTGCGCTCTCTCTCCTTGCGCAGAGCAACAAATCCAATCAATTTATGGAGGTGCAATATCTTCTCATCGCCAGCCTTATCACTGAGCAGCTCTTTCTGCGCATTCTCGTCCAGTCCACTCATCAACATAACCTGAAAAAATGTCACATCACGAGGTGGCACAGTGAATGACCCGGACAAGCCACAGGAAATAATCAACATGCAGGAAGTACACTGAGAAAATGGCTGCACATTCATAATGATTTTCCTCCCCCTCTCGCTCGGCCTGTGGCACAAAAGGACCCCACAACTCTTTCTAGACGTTAGTTCGAGCTGACGAACATGATTTTCAGTACTGCATATCGCAAAGGGCATCACTACAGAGATAGCCAGAGGAGCAAAAAGATCAAGAGGAAGAAGGTATCCACACACAAAAAAAAAAAAATGCAAATCCTGACCAGCCGCAGGGCAAACAAATCAACGTCACCCAAAAAATGCAAACTGAGCAGTAGCAGGGCAAACAAATCAACGTAACTCGCCCAAATCCGCACAGCCTGAAAGCAAACAGTACGGTAATTACAACCAAATGCAAGGGTTGTGGAGGTGAGTGTAAAAAAAGTTCCGGCAAAGGTAGGAGGAGGAGGAGGTAGTCTTTATTGAACAACCATCTCTGACGGGACGTTTCCGACATCCACTAAGCAAAATTAGCAAGGAAAGGGAATAACAAGTGAACACATGACAACAACACCCACCACGGTGAGACGCCAGGGTAATCACCGAGTTACATAGACGAATGGAAACGATTTCCATGTAGAGGTGAACAGTGACACATACTCGGATTCGTTGTGTTCATGTTGGCCGCACGGAATTGAACTTGTTTCTAAGATCATCAAGCCAACTTCTCTTTAGGGATCTGGGTACTGCCAGCCACTTTTCCCACATGTTGCTTGGAGTGTCTTTTGCAGCTTAAAATAAAAATATGTCAGTACTTAACTGACAGTTCGGCAGGCAACGCTTGAGTTGCCTCCGTGAAGCTCAGTTGAAGACAAGGGACAAGAACTTTGGGCCTTGCCGCACTAATCACCAAATGCACAAAAGTAAAAATACTAAAAAACGATGGTGGTGCATCTTTTCATGTTCTGGCGGAATATTCATTCTCATTTTGTACATTTGGTGAGTAGTGCAGCGACGCCCTTTGTCACCAACAAACAACCACCCATCAAAACATTTTCGACTTTTTTTTTTTTACGAATTGTCTTCATGAATGTACCTCAGGCCATCACATTAAGCGGGCTCTTATGCTCCCTTCAGGCTATGGTCAATGCCCAACAATAATGATTCTCACGTTCAACCCAATTGATGAAAACGATCTATGAGACCTTGTGCTGCGAATGAGTAAAGGTGCAGAAAACAATAGGGTACAAAAAACTTACCAAGTAATACCAACTGGGAGGTGGGGCAGGGGGAAGAGAAGCCTGGATGGTGAGTGAGCAGAGGAGCGAAGCAGAAAAGAAGGGAACCCACATAACCAGGATATATACCAGCAAGGCAGACGTAACAACGAGACCCTTGGGATCATAAAGCCGCAGACGTCATATGAAAAGCGAAGACAAACACATCGGTGCAGCAGTTTAGAAAAAATGATAATTCGACATGTCCATCCAGGCACAATAATTTTGTCATCATACACCAGAAAGTAGCATCCTGAAAGGGAAGAGCAGGCAGGGAGTTCGACACCATACCCTAGATGGAAAAGTTACCGCAACTGAACGGCATTAAGAAAGCTAAGTCATGGCATTGTCAAATTTGTGTTGGCATTAAGAAAGCTAAGTCATCATTAGTCATGGCATTGTCAAATTTGGGTTGTACAAGCCTAAGGTCTAGGCCAGGGAACTTGTGAAGATGGGAACAAAGTTCATTGTTCAATACAGCAGCATGCGCAGAAGCCCACAGGGAGATTAATGTGGTGACGGAGCTGAAGGGCTTAATCCAGTGGTCCTCTCGACTGGGCATGTAAAAAGTGGAACCTTATCAGATCACGCTTGCAAACCTAAGGTGTTGTTGCACTTTAGTGCATAATGATAACTGTGTTGTGCAGCGAAGTCAAAGCCAAGACTTCAGCAAATATGTTCGAGGTCATAGACATGAGGGCGAGAGAACACAGACAATTAGCCTGCACTCTACAATTATGGGGCAGCAAGCACTAATCAAGCTCGAATCGCACATACTGCAAGCGCCGGGGAATGTTTACAACAGGAGAACATAGACATTTAGCCTGCAGTCCACAATTATGGGGCAGCAAGTGCTAATCAAGGTCAGACTGCATATATCGCAACCATCAGGGAATGTATACAACAGGAGGGAGGTGCCCCAACTAACGCACGAGCGATGATAAGGAGAGGTTGTCACAGCTGCTTGTTACCAACAGCGTAGTACATTAGTACATCTCAGAACACTGAAAAGTGCCCCTCTGCTGTAGCCGTGTGCTCTCTATAGTAGCCGTGTGTTCTCTATAGTCAGTCAGAAGAAGAGGGGAAAAAAACTAGCAGATAACAAGGGCCAGCTGTCAGATGACATACAGAAAGGTAGCAGCTGAAGAAATATGCCCCGCGAACAGAATAGACCACAAAGATACGAGATTGTGTTAATCACAAGTGAAGAGTTAAAGGGCAAAATCCTACTTCGCAGATGTGCATATGGTGAAGTTGAATGGCAGATGATAATACAAGACAAGGTGTCCGGATGCCTTAGACAGCGCCACCTTTAAACCACCACTACATGCCAGCCATCGGCCGAGAGCCACTTTCAGAGGCCGCCCGCAGTTCATTTATTTTATCAACGGCGCACGAGCCTCATAAATTTTAGGAGAGGCTCAATCAGACTCTCAAGTGCCTGGGGCTACGTACTGGTGCTTCAAGAGAACCATCTAGCACATGGATGAGAGAGAGTGCCTGTGAAGGCAGATAGAGATGAGCACCAAATTTGGAGCACCGCATGGCCACAAAAGTGCAAGGCATGATTGGTTGTGTCAATGCATGTTAACCAGGAGTAAGCTCTCCGTTATAAAAGGCACTGGAATGGGCTCCCTGGCTCTGTGAGTAACAGAATGTGGAAAATGTCAGCTTAATTCACAAGAGGACAACGAAACTCGGTGGAAACATAAGTGAAAAATAAGGGGGCTGTAAAAGCCACATACGAAATCAATATGGATATCATCTTGCTCAGTACGATGGCGTGATCAACATCACTACCTCTGCAATATGTATGTATGATGCAAAAAACAAATAAGCTGATAAATAGTGCTAATGGAACTCGTAGAACTGAGAGTCATTACATATGAACAGAGTCATGCAAGCATCATATACAACTTCTGCAGACACATAATCTGCATGTGCCTGATCCAAGGGGACCATGATGAACGACTGAGAGTCAGCTTGGAGGTTGCGATTAGTTGCCCCACCTCCCCATTCATTTTCCTGATTTTCTGAAGGTTCACAACTATACACCAGTGCATTTGTTGTACAGATCTTTTTTCATGAACTATTGTGTTGCCAGGGGTGCCAGCGGATGGGACAAAGCATACAATGGAAATGTTGAGCGAGGGCCATCGGTGAGCCCGAGGAGATCCTTAGAAAACGGCACATCGCTTCACATTCGCAGATCAGTCGCAGGCGTCCAATATAACTTCGGCAGATAAGTCGTCTTTCAAGTCGGATGCGCTACCTTAGCATTCCACACAGTAGGTCCCATCTTCGGCGGCTTTAATTGCTGAGGATGAAACGGACCACAAAGAAGATGGTGCAGCCACTTTTTCGGAGAGTTTTGACGCAGCATCCTTGGTCTCTCCCTCGTCTTCTACGTCTATAGCTTCATGCTCAAAGCTGTTGCATGTCGGGTAGAAAGTGAGAGTGAGAGAGGGCGAGAAATAGAGGTATTGAAAGAAGAGAATAATTTTGACTTCAACAACACCCAGAACATTCAGTTGCATCATTATCCCCACACAGAAGCAGTCACCCCCTGGAGACACCCTCCACTCATGGTTCGCATCCAAAATAGTGTTATCGCTCAGCATTTTCAGTATCCCCCCCAATACACACCTTCCAGCCAACTAACACTTGTAGTTTCTTAGTCCGATCACAATCCTTGCCAACAAACCACGAAACAAAAACATGACAACATAGTGTTTCCTAGTTACCGCAGGTGAAATAAATTGGACCTCCGAAGGTGAAATAAATTGGACCTCCGAAGGTGAAATAAATTGGACCTGCAATTACGGTGACATTGCAAAGCAAGTGACAACTGTTTGAGAGCGCAAGAGTCACAATTGAGGCCCAAAATTTTAGGATGTTGACGTGTTCACTAACTGGCACTTTTCTTATCCAAAATGCAGGGGTGCTTCTCCTAGTCAACATGAGCTCATGAAGCCAACCAATGCAACCCTGCTGATAATGCTATGCACTGTATGAGTTTACCCCAGAAGCACCGCCCCAAGTCCACAAGCCACCCCATGTTAGCAATCTTTGCTCCATGAGCAAAAAAAAAAGCAACACATCCTCACTCCAATCCAAACACAAAATAGGTAAGCAAAGAAAGGCAAAACTCATGCCACAATGTTCCCTCTCAACACTGTCATCAACAAAGGCAGTGTGGCACCAAAAAGCAAATAGAGGGGTTCAAACTTCAAAATGAAAAGCTCACACGAGGCATGAGGCAAGCAAAGTTCAATGGATGCGCTGCCTTTGCAGGATTTCCTTTTCTAGTCCACGAAGAAAGATATGAATAGTCGTTCGCTTCTCTGTTTCACAGATACCGCAATCTGCACACATGACAAGTGGAGAGTCCATGACCACCACTACCTGAAACTGCATGAAATAAGAAGACAGAATCGATCGGAGGTCGAACCAGGTACCATTCCACAAGATATGAACAAAATTGAAAGCGGAGTGGCTGCCAGAAGCAAAACAAAGTGACTTGGTGCACCATAACGACCCTCACGAAAGGGACGAGCTGTAAGCAACGTACAAGAACAGGGGTAAGAATAGTGAACAGACCTGACTGGTTTATCGAGCGGAATGTCCACGTCATTGCTCACCCAGCATGCAACCACCTGAGTATGGAGACAGAAATCTTGCTTGTTAGCTTTCAACACACAAAAGAATGCCTTGCCAGAAGCCTTACAGCAGGGCCCTTTTAACTCTTCCCGGACCAAATCCACAAACAGAGCACCGCATGACATTTTGCCTCAATTGTGGGGATTCTGACCCTTCAATGCCTTAATATAGATTTATGAAATCCATATGCAGCACAACCAATTGCAAAGCAGAGGCTTCCGAGCATGCACTTTATTCTTGCCTCCTCTGCCAATCCAAAATATCATACCAAAAAGTGACGATAAACTGATGCATTGACACCCAGCTCACCGACCTCAACATTCAAACGCTCTGAGATATTAACTTATTAAACCACCAGTACCTCGCTCAGCTATAGAGTCCGAAGCTCGGACTACCGGTAGCCCGATGATTCCCGAGCCTGGGACTTTATGGCCGAGCCTCGGACAACCAGTAGGACATCACAGAAACAAAAAAAACAAAAAAAAACAAAAACATTACATTCATCGTTCAGCAAAAGAAAAGAAAAAAAAAGAAAGGAAATCAGACGTGCCCTATGAGAATGAATCTTCCTCGACAAAGAGGAAGATTCATTCTTGTAGAGGTTCAGAGAGAGAGAGAGAGAGAGAGGGAGAGAGAGAGAGAGAGAGAGAGAGAGAGAGAGAGAGAGAGAGAGAGAGAGAGAGAGAGAG